CTTTTTGGCTCCTACCTCAAAGCACACTGTGCGCTGTCGATCTTACGTGCTGCACAATAATATTTGATATTTACTATTTACTGTTATATTCACATAGATCATCGTGATGATGTTGTTTTTTATATTGCTCTCTTTTTCTTTGTTTGTTTTCTCTTTTTTCTTTTTCAACAGGTGATCCAGGTGACTGATATATGCATTTTTTGTCTGTTTGTTTTGTTTGTTTTTGGTTTTTGCCCTTTATCACCGTCCCTCTTCCTCGCTCTTTTTCTTTCCCTCTTTCTTTCTCCCTTTTCTTTTCTCCAGTCAAGTCTGTCCCGTGTTCAGCAAATGAAAACAAAATAAACAATAAAAGCAAAGGTGAATCAAATAGACCAATACAGCAAGGCTGGGATGGTCCATTTGGTAAAGTAAATCCATTGGGTGTCTTTCTTTGCCTTTAGACAACAATTCTGATGGCAAAAGAACCAAACGGGACAGGCAAAAAAAAAAGAACCTCCACGATCACAAGAATCATTTTTATTGTGTTTTCTAGTAAATCTTGCTATAAATAAGATCCTAAAAAATTGCATTGAACCCTACCGGTACTCTAAGCTTAGTAGTAACTGGTAAATAATCTTAAACAATGTTTAGCTTAATCTTTTTGGATGTTTATTCAACATTCAATTATAATTACCCAAAAACGTGGCCATTATTAGCTGTCCCTTACTCTCTTTTTTTTTTTTGTAATACAGCCTTCCCAAACAAGACCCGGGTGGCTATATTGGCAGAGCTGGAAAAGGAAAGGAGGCGACTGATGCAGAGTCAGTCCATGAATACTCCTGGAGCCAGGTAGGCGTAGTACAGCATAATCCAAGTAACAGAAGGGGGGATATTAAGTCTGTGTGTAAAGCTTACCTGGGACATTAGTATGTGTCATGATCTGATGTCCTCGTGTTGGCATTGGTCCTACAACATCATAATTACTGTTGCACATGGACCATCAACTACAACAGTGATGCAAAAACATGAAAGAAGTCATCCGAGGACAGGACACACGTAAGTTATGAAGGTAACTTTGGTTCTGTGAATTCCCAGACATCAAGTTGGATATGTCTCCTTGCACTGCATGCAGGTTGAGATACCATGTTATAGCCAACATCCAGTCTCTAGGAAGCTTCTTGAGCCGAGATGTTCCGAGTGAGCAGCATGACTGGCAGTTTCCCGGGAATTCACAGAACCATATTTACCTCTTTCAGTTTAAATCCCACCTCCCTGCCAGTAGCATTAAGCTAGATGGCTGGCTTGTACCTGCAGAGCAATAAGGAGCAACAGCTGGACTCTGTTGTACAGATTTCCCCTAGTGAAACACGTTTCATTGCCATCCGAGATGTGGAGAGACTCCTGACAAATGTGGCAAATAACATCTGAGGGAACAGGTGTGCTCACCACTCCATATGCTTATTTTATTGTAAACAGTCCAGTGGGAAAGTCGATTTCTTTGGGACACAGCTTTTCCCCTGTTGTTTCAGTTATAACATATTAAGAGATGCTCCGAGTGTGTAAAGCTCTGTGCTGCTTCAAATCCTGAAGCCTGACTTTAATGCCCTCATTATTATGACAAGGCGCCAGTTGCCTTTTTCTTCTCTAATGTTATGACTTCACAACAATGTGACTGGACATTTGCAGCGATGGTCCTGGAACAATAATTATGATGATGTTAGAACACCAACATATAACCTGTCATTAGTCAAGCTTAAAGGGCCGAGTTCAGGCAGAACAAAAAAGACTTTGGTCATTTCCACATGCTTCCATGCCATCTTTTTCCCTTCAACACTGTAGCATCTCGCTGGCCCGGCCCAGTGTTAAGGACTTCAGGGACAACGCAGAACAGCAGCACATCGCTGCGCAGCAGAAAGCTGCCTTGCAGGTAAGACACAGGAAACGCTACTAGATGTGCAACCACATTCAATAATAATTAAATAAACCAACCCTGTGATTACCCCTCCTCATTATGAATCTTACAGTGATTACAAGCAATCCTTCACAGCATACATTAGAAGAGCCTTTTGATAGGAGCCCAACTAATACTGGATTTATTTTTTATTTTTTTAGGTGTGTGTGTGTGGGGGGGGCGTTCCAGTCATTTATTTTACAAGTTTACTGCTTGACTCCACATCACTGTGTCCTCAGCTGTGATTACAGTTATAGTGATTACAGCTGGTGCTGAGAGTGTCAGAGCTAATCTGCTGGATAAACAAATGCCAGATCCCACATCTGTGATCTGAAATCCCAAATATTTTTACTAAGTGCTGGTGAATTAATCATTGGTTCAGGCATGCTGTCTCAAAGCTGCCTGATAGATCTGAGGGCAGCATTTCTTGTAAATTACAGTTACAAGAAAATACCAATAAATACCAGCTGGGTATCACTTAGCAGTGCGTATGTGCTAATGTAGATTAGAGGTTTCAAGGCAACTGGATTTAAAAATCAGCTGCATTTAATCCTCCTTCTATATCATTAACAGTGGGAAATAACTATGATTTGTTATCAGGCTGTCAATATAAATTCAACCTCAACAAGTTAACTGATAAAACGGAATAAATGAAAACGAAGATTCTTCATGTCATGCTGGTGGTGTGATTGCGTGTTTGGGTGGCCCTCTGCTGTCAAGCCTGTAGTTAACACCTTTATTTCTTTTCTTGCAGCATGCACATGCACATTCTTCAGGCTTCTTCATCACTCAGGACTCCTCATTTGGAAACCTCATCCTCCCAGTTCTTCCACGCCTGGAGCCCGAGTCATGACGTTTTACGTCCGATCTACCTTCTGGTGTGAGAGGCGCAGCTTTGGAACAACCTGGGCACACACCACATCTGTCATCATGGACAGCTGTTTGTGATGTCGTAAATGATCTCAGGGGAGTGTTAAATGACCTCTCTTATATTTTCACGACTAAGAAAGCTGGTTGCTGATTTTTAGAAAACCCGCACAAAGGATCAGAAGACTGTTCTACATGGCCGTGAAACATTGCAGTAAAGGTTATATTTCAACTGTTTTCATTCTGCTGTGGATAATAAAAATGTTGCATACATTAAAGATGATAACAGGAGTGCTTCTGGTCTCTAATACACCCACTGATGTTCTTTGAGGGTGAAAGATATCAATTTAATAAATGGAGGAAAAAATATTTTTTGTGGTTTATTGTAAAACAGCCATAAGAAACACATTTTTTAGAACCTGATGAATTCAGAGCAGCTGAATCTGCCGTGAAAGTCAACAAGTGTCAGTTTCATAATCACACAAGACACTAGACAGGAAGCACCCATGATGGTTGGAATACAATCGACATACGATTTGAAGTCAATTATGTTAAAAATCCTAAGGTGGTATTTTTCTCTCATTTTTTTTTTTTTGTTATACATAAAGTATGCAGACGTTTTGTAGGCCTGTGCCTCAGGCAGAGTGAGCACCATACATGAAACTGTCACTTTGACACAATGGGCAACAGTTCTCCTTTTGTCTTCATTGTTTTGATCTTGGCCTTAATGGTGTCGTCCATCGCCTGCCGGCAGCGGTGGGCGTAGTGTGCCAGCGTCTCCTCCTTCTCATCCCATGGTGCCAGTGCGTGAAAAACCTCTGGAGCAGCCAGGCTGAGCTCTGCTATGGCCGCCGTGCGAGAGATTGTGTTGCGGTCCACACCGATGCGGTCAAACGCCACCTTCATGGAGACGCTGCGGCGAAACTCCTGGAGGGCAGCCATGTAGCGTGCTATCACACCCACCACGTTTTTCACTACCAATAAAAACAAAAAAGCAATGTTTAGCACAGTGAGTACTCTGTGACACATTTATCAGAGTGTGTCTATGTGTCCTTACTCCTGACTCGAGTGTTTTCTCCATCCCGGCTCCTCTTGCTCTTCGGGGTCCGATGGCGCTCTAGAGGATGAAGCTCCACTTCCTCAAATGAGTCAAACAGCGTTGGCAAATCAAACCCAGCTGCATCATCAGAGGACGCCATGTGTGAGCTTCCAGGTTCCATCTGAGTGGAACATCGAGGCCACCTCTTCTCTAGAAGAAAGAAAGAGAAGGATGAGGACTGAAGATTTTGAGAAACCAACTAACTCGAGTTCAGTGAACGTGATTTTTGTGTAAGGTTACAAACGGCACAGATTCGTGAGCTTACCGGGGCGCAGTTTGTCCTGCAGAAAGTCACAGATGAGTTCAGCTTTCTTCGTGAGTTCATGTTGCAGCAGCTCTTTGTCCTGCTTCAAATTGGAGATCATCTCTGTCATTTGTTGGTTTCGGCTGCGTTCTGCCAAGAGTAATGCTCGCAGCTTCTCCAGCTCACTCTCGTCTTCTTCAGCTTTACAGACGCACAAAAAAATTACAAACAAAAACAACGTTATGTTTTGTTCCCCTGACGGCATGAAAACATGCGAGCTGGTACCTGTGTTCTTCTCTGTAGTCTCTGTGGCAGAGCTGCATCGCTCAGCCTGCTCTGTGGTCCCTGCTGTGCAGCTGCCTCCTCTTAGTACCTCCATCTCTGGATCCATCGATCCCTCACACCCCACATGTTGTCCATGCTGGGGCTGACAGCAAGATGAAAGAGCCTTTTTTGGCCACAGTGTTTGTGTGATTTGAGAGTATGTGTTTGGTGATGTCTGATGAGTCTGTAAAACACAGACCGGGTCTGTCTCTGCGAGCCCAGTGTCATCGTCTTCTGCTGGGGCGGATTCCTGTTTGACCTTCTTTGCCGCGATGGCTCCTCCCTGGGCCCTGCCTCTTTTCCTAGATGGCCGGGGCTCATAGTCGCCATCCTCATCTGTGGCTGATGAATCACATGCAGCAATGTCAAAAAGCCGACCACTGAACTCCTCGCCCTCTGATGCCGCTTCACTATAGGAGAGGTCACATGATGTTCTCACTGCAATCTGAACATTTAGAAAGAGGTGATGTCCAACTGTACAACCTTATAATCCAGTACATAATTGTCTCTATAGCTTTACTGACAACTGTACAATTCATTTTCATGTAAGTCACCAGTTTACATCAAATTAAGCCTTAAAATTATGCATAACTTTCATGAAATCCGTGGACTGTAACTTAAAGATGGCTTGTAACCACATAGCTTCCACGTTCCAAAAACAAAGCCACTGTAAAAGTGATTTAAGAGTGCATTGTTTCACCAAAAATCCAACATAAAAGTAAGGCTGCAGGGATTTTCCAGTCTTGCCTGGGTTTAATCATATGTTGACAGACAAAGTATTAAAGGCTCATGAACCCACATGCTGATTATACACTGGCCCTAAGCTTATGTGAATTTGTCAGTAACCCAATTCTTTGCACATTTGCACATCCCTGTGTCATTTCAGACAATACCAGCACCTCACATCTTTACCTCACCTTACTGGTTGGACGACCTCCAGCAAACCTCTCCTGGCCTTGTCTGGTACTGGCTGAGCCACCACAAGTGTTTGCATTTTCACCAAGGGGCCAGTGGTAGGCGTGTCCAGCCCCACAGCCCCACACAGCAATGGGGACGCTGCCACCGTGCGGACCAGATTCAGCTGTCAGCACATTGCTGTAGGAGCCATGGGTGATGTGCTGCAAGCTGGGGAGGAGGTTGCAGATGGTGCCGTGGCTGTGAGCCCAGCGGACGAGTTTACACAAACTGTCCGAGGTGGTTTGAACCAGGCTGGACATCATAGGATGTCTAAAACAGAGAGCGAGAACATGGTGTTAGAAACACTTTAATATTATTTATTTGTATCTGTTGCTAATATCACTGGCATCATAGATAACAACTGCTTCCATCAGCTGCCTTTGCTGTTATCTTTCTTTCCTTTGATGCTGATGCCACAAGTTTTTTTAATAATTACTCAAGGAAATTCACATTTACAGGCGGTGCAAGTCTTGATTTGATCCATCTTAATTTTCAGCCACGTGTGACCTAAACTGAGTCCTAAGAACAGCTTCTCATATTAGAGGCTCAAGATTTATTTTTCAGTTTTTTGTGTTTTTGACTTTCTTCAATTTTAGGGTTTACATTATGCAAAATGTTTCATGTTCTTGTATATAAACTGGCGATTTAAAAATATATATATTACTGTCTTCACTTTAGCAGACAAAGGTGATTTTAGCTTATTTTTAATGCATGTTTACCACAAATGACCACATCTAATCTGTTAGTGTTTTTCCCCTTTTCTCCTCTTTAAATTACCCTCAAAGAGGACTTGTTGCTTTGCAAGTCCTATCGTGCAACAGCTGTATACTACACTTCGTAACATGCAGCTGCTGCAATACTAAATCCCCTGATTTAGTTTACCATGGTAAAGATTACAGTCACATATTTATGAAGGCAAAACTTTCCAATTCATAAAAATAAATCTTGTCGGTTACAAGACGCCTAATTGTAGCTACAGCAAATGAACTGTAAAAACAGAGTGTCCTTCAGTTTCCTGTTAAAAACAATTTATATTTTATTTAAACTGGCATAATTCATCAATTTATCTTCCTCTCGATCAAATCTGTCCACGGGCAAATCCTAATTTAACAGACACAGGAAAACAAAGCACCAACAGCACATCCACATGCCTCATAATTACCTTTAAAAAAAGAAATCTAAATTAAACCAGGTCCATGCAGGTTTCACATAATCTGACTGTCCTCATTTATTCCGCAGCTGCCTGCAGTAAGCCAAAGCAACTCTCGGGTCTTATGTGCTGACGCGAAACACGCTTGATTAAAAATAATAATAAAAAATGTCCAGCTTTTGTTTAATTATTATCTTCTTTGTCCGGTAGGTTTAATATCGTCACAGTTGAATGAAAGGGTTGGTTTACTGCCAGCAAGTGGACGGGAGGATGAACTGTGCTCTGCTTTCAGTGGGCGATGAAACAGCGACCTCTAGTGGGCAGAGTGGGATATTAATAAAGTACTATAATATATATCCTGCACATGCATATTATTTTTATTTTATTTTTGTTTTGATACAATTTAAATTATAAGAGGATGAGAAATAAAATATCCCATTCATCCATAGATTGTAAGACGTGTTAAAAAACATTTAATATTTGTTTTGCCGGGTTAAAACATGTTTTTACCTATTTATATATAGTTATTTGTCTCCCTGAAACCCCACTTAAAAGCATTTTCACAGCAGCATAAGCAGCCAAACAAGTTGTGCTGTCACAAAAAAAATCTTCTCAGATTACAAATCAAGCGAACAGAAACTTTCAGCATGTCAAATTGATGCGAACACATCGTTCCTGCCCGGTGAAGCTGAAACATCCAGGAACTTGATGCAGACTTTACTTTAAAACACAAACAGTATTTTATTTTTAACTTTTTATCAAAGCCCAAATTAACTTTTAACGTTTAAAGTGTGTATTTTTAGCATCTTGAAGAGTGACTAGCGAATTTCTCTAATTAACATAAGGCTTATTAGCCCGAGACCAGTTCAAAGATTACGTGCAATGACGTCATAGCCCATAAAGCAGGTTTACTGGGCCAGTTAATCTAACATACCCCGCTTGATGTGGATTGTTCCGTGTCTGGTTCAATGAGTGTATAAAAGCTGGAAGTTTTTTGGTTTTTAAAAGTTATTGGTCCGACTGCAGAGACTTGACTGAACTTGTTCCTGGCTCCACCCTCCGTTAGTCAGCCTGTGTAACTACGTGTTAGTGCTGGTGCCTTTAACTTACAAGCATCTTGGAGAGAGGAGGGGAAAAAAGAGGACTTTCCCCCCGGCTTTTATCTTGGGGAAAGACGGCTATCCTGCCGTCGCAAGTTTGTTGGCTTTAAACTTGAATAGCCGGCGTCTTTCCGTAAGGGAGAAAAAGGGACAGGGTTTGAATGCGTTTTCGGACTTGGATTAAGTTGGGCATGGAAACTAATGATATTTGAACCCGTGGAAAGGAGAGAGAGGAGGTGGGTGTCGGATACAGGACTACTTTTGCTTGTCCGTCTTATTCTTTTGCGCGTGGATCACAGATACAAGCGTGTTTAATTTGGTCAAAGGTGAAATGGTTTGGGTTTTTTCTTTATCATAAAACTTCCTAAATCTGATTAAAGCTGCACAGATCCTAAAGGTTTAATCGTGCTGGAAGACATAACATTTTCGAGGAAGCTTTGAGAATTAGAACCAGAAATATATATTTATAAATATATTGCAGCAGTATTGAAATTATGGCGCTGAAGGCCAAAGTGTTGTACGATTTCCACTCTGAAAATCCAGGAGAGATCTCCATAGCAGAGAATGAGGTGGTGACTCTGTTTAGCGAGGAGGAGCTGGAGGGTTGGCTGGAGGGGGAGAACAGCAGGGGGGAGGCTGGCCTCTTCCCTGCCTCTTATGTTGAGATCATCAGAGACCACATCACCTCCAACAACAATGGCTTCTCCTTGACTCAAACCCAAGTCCAGACCTCCTACACATCCTCTCAGCCTCACAGGGGATTTGGGGCTGATAGCAGCAGCTTCCACACTAGCCAGGGCAGCGATGATGACTGGGATGACGAGTGGGACGACAGCTCTCCTGTGGCCAATGTCCCTCAGGGTCTCAGCAGCAGCCCTCCTTTGCACCCAGTTGCCACCTCCCTGCCGGGCCGTGGGAGCTCCCAGCAGCAGCAGGCCAAGAGTTCAGCCACAGTGGGGAGGAACCTGAACAGGTTCTCCACCTTCGTCAAGTCCGGAGGGGAGGCCTTCCTGCTAGGGGAGGCGTCAGCTTTTGTGAGAGATGGAGACAGGATCTGTGTGGTGATGGGGAAGCATGGACCCGAGTGGCAGGAGGACCCTTATCCGTTCACGTGCACCATTGACGACCCCACCAAGCAAACAAAGTTCAAAGGGATGAAGAGCTACATGTCATATGGCCTTACTCCAACGCACACCAATGTCCAAGTCAACCGCAGGTATGTATCGTCTTCCCTTTTCTCCACTTTTCAGATTTTTACTGCGGTTTACGAAATGTTAAAAACAGAGCTGTGGATTTTTGCCATCTGGAGCCTTCTCTTGTTTCCTCTCTGAGGTTCCCTCAACAGCTTTCACATTGTTTCCATGTCCCTGTGTCTGTCAGTTGAACTACACTCAAATTCCCTCAGGGCTTGTTGGGAAAAGATTCCTGCACTTCCCCTCCATTTATCTTTTTCACTCCATCTCACTACATGCTCCTGGCATTTACCTTACCTCACTTATTCAACCAGTCCCAATTTCTCTTCTCTCCACTCCTTCCTGCAGGTATAAACACTTTGACTGGCTCTACGGTCGGCTCGTGGAGCGCTTCCCTGTCATCTCAGTGCCCCACCTGCCAGAGAAGCAGGCAACGGGCCGCTTCGAGGAGGACTTCCTCTCCAAGAGGAGGAAGGGTCTGATCTGGTGGATGAACCACATGACAAGCCATCCTGTGCTGGCGCACTGTGACGTTTTCCAGCATTTCCTGACTTGTGGGGCGGATGAGAAGGCATGGAAGCAGGGAAAGAGGAAGGCAGAGAGGGACGAGCTGGTCGGGGCCAATTTCTTCCTCACAATCAGGTAGGAGTCTGAGAATTGGTCTTTATTAAGATGCACATAGCATTTTGGGAAATGACAAAGTTTTTTGTCAGGTTCTTTTTAATAGTGTTAAGTTTAGATGAAAGATATTTGACCTTGTATAGAGAACTAATATTATAAACTACGTTCTTTGCTCTGTTTTAACAACTTGGAGTTGAAGGCCTTTAAAAATAGGGTGTGCTAGATAGTGAGCAAAAGATAAGCAGTAGAAAAAATAGCTTCAAGATTTAAAATGACAATCTTCCCCTTTCTTTTTTCCATCAGCCCCCCGTCTGTACCTCTGGACCTGCAGGAAGTCGAGAGCAAGATTGAAGGCTTCAAAACATTCACCAAGAAGATGGACGAGAACATCATAGTCGTGAACACCAGCATCAACGAGTTCGGCCGCAAACAAATATCGGGGTTCAAAAAGGAGTACCAGAAGGTCGGACAGTCCTTCAAACTCCTGGCCCAGGCTTTCGAGCTGGACCAGCAGGTCTACTCAGTGGGTTTGAACAAGGCCATTTCCTACACGGGGGAGTCTTACGAGGCAATAGGAGAGTATTTTGCTGATCAGCCGCGGCAGGACCTGGACCTCATTTCCGACCTGCTGGACATCTACAAAGGACACCTGGCCAACTTCCCTGACATCATCCATGTGCAGAAAGGTGGGAGAGTATCTTTTTCTTCATGTTGGTAAAAAAATTCAGCTCTGCAGTCTTAGAGCACAAATGTAAAGGAAAGATGTTGAGCACATTTTTATGCAGGGCTAACGTTTTAATACTGCTTAAATATGTTAAAATACTTTCTTGGGAACATAAATTGTAATTAGTAACAAACCAATTATGAAAAATCAAAAAACACCAACAATTTTAGAGGAAAGGAAACAGACTCGGCACCAAGTATGTAGGGAAGCTTTTAACTGGCGTTTAAAGAAAAATAATAAAATGAATTATATGCGTCTAAATGCTTCTAGCATGTCTGCTAATCATGCAGACATACAAAGACCCAGATTCTGACTGTATCCCAACCAAGAGAAACATCTGTTTTCATTTAGTGAAGAGCTGTGTCAATCTGCGTAGAAAACTGAAACCCGTGGTCCATTGTAACACTGTGCGAGGGCCTGTATTTGCTCATTTTGAAAACACACACACACATTTACAAAGCAGGAGTTGGCTTATTAGTTCCCTGCAGGTTGGGAGGAGGGAGTTTCTCCTGGCACGCAGAGTCCAGACGTTTGCCAGACCGAGAGACACTGTTTCTATGGTCCGCTGAACTCTGTTCTCCAGATACAATCCCAGCTCCCAACTGTGGAACGAGCCTGAATTGCAATAGTCCGTGTGACTGACAGGGCTTCACCTCCTTTCCTGTTGACAAATAACAAGCACATTGTTTTATGCCTTGCAAAGCCCATTTTCTTACTAACTCACTGTTTTTTTCCTGTTAAGTTTTTCATGCCAAAGTTTCTCTCCACAGAGCATCATTGGTTCGGGGTATTTTATATAAAATGGGACGCCAAATAAAAACCAGTTAAACCAGTAAAACACATTTAAGTTAAATTATAACCAAATTGATTAAAATCTCGGAAAGAAAGGCCAATGTAATTTAAACATTTCAGGTGATCTCCCACAAAGTAGTGACATAATTCTGGGGCACCGGCGTGGGTTTCATCACTGAAAACACTGACTGGCAACATTTTTTTGTCCTTTTCATACAAAGTGTTGATTCTGTTTATTCATGGTCGGTAGCTTCAAGTGGACTTACAGAGCTCAACAGTGACCGCCCACTTTTTTAAGACCTCCACTTCCAGTAGTGAATTTCTCATTCATTTTGTCCACTGATGTTTCAGAAAATTATTACATTTTATATACATTTAAGCCTTCAAGTGAGCCAGCCAGCTACAAGCCAGATCATAACCATGAAATCATTTGATTTGGATCCAAAATATAAACCAAAATGAAAGTCTACTCAAGTTTCTTCAGTTTTGTGCTCACTAATTGACCTGATGTGTATGGGTTTAAACATTTCAGTGGTAACAGAAACCTCTATGGTTTTCCTACCCTTGATGTCAGTAAGAAGGTATATCCTCTTCTAGTTTTCAGCAATCTAAAATTAGATTCTATCCTGCTGTAAACTAAATTATAACCCTAATTATAACACATCCAAAGAAAATGACTAACACAACTATAAAATAGACACAGCATGCAGAAGAATTTGTAAGCCTTTACAATAAGCACTGTCAGACTTTTGTAATCATCTCTGCTGGTGTTAGAAAGGGTCAGTATCCGGTGAGTAACATCCTTCAACCATCGACCATACTGCAGAGTCGACACTGCTGCTGGGGTTGTGAAATAACTTAGATTCGCATAAGATGACTGGCTTAGTTCACGAGGCATCTGATTTGATAAAGAAATAGGCAAGAAGGAAAACAGGACTCCAGAGGGTTTGCATTTCCAGACACATCAGGCTTCATTTCTTTCTCAGCAGCAGCAGCTCCACATTCCACTAATTTCTATCAGTCTCATATTGTGTCATTTTTCTACACTTTCTCCAGTAATGGCTAAATTAGAAAACATATAAAGTGGCAGCTGTAACACCTCATGTTTGACTGCTTTGTTGAACTACATATGTCACTTACGGTGACAGTCATCTATGCCAGCTCAGTCTTTTAAGTCCAAAGGCTACATCTGATTTGAATGAGTGGGAATTCCTGGGCCTCTTGTACTCTGTTGCCCTGGGACTACAGGAATCCAAAATGGAGCGGTCTCAGGATTACATTCCCCTCCTCCTCTTTTTTTGTTCCCCCCTTTTCCTGTTTCCTCCTGTTGGTTAAAGAAAAATAGGAAGAAGAAGAAGAAGAAGAGGGGAGGTGAATGTATGAGGGGGTAAGGAGAGTTACAGAGCTTTACAAGATTTCCTACCAGCATAACAGTACAAGAGTTCAAATTATAGCTCAGTAATCCCCTTGGCAGGGAGGAGAGCAAAGTCCGAGTTTTTTTTTTTCTTCACTGTGGTGGCAAACTTTTGCTTCTGATCTTTGTGAGATAGAGAGAAGGAGAAACTAGGTTAGCACGTTCAAGATCAGCTTCCTCGCAATTTCCTCCACATTCATGTGAGTTAGTCCTTCACTCTGAGATCCCTCTTTGTTGGTCATGTCTGTCTGGACTGTACAGCCTCCCCCCCAAAGCTTGAGTCACTCTAAACACTGTGAGTCATAAGTGGGTGATGGGTATCTTCAAAGAAATCTGGAAAAGGTTTGCAACAATCAGCACATTTCTGCAGGTTTCTCAACATGTCCTGATTTGATGTAATCCAGTTATGACCTCGTGAATTTTGTATTGCACAAGTTCCTTTTGTAGAATTGTGTTTTAATTATTTGTGTAGAAGTTCTAAAAAAAAATCCCAGACTTCCTTGATTTGACTATTGAGTTTGACTTCCTCTTTCCTGTGCAGCCACCCTGATGTCACCAACTGCTTTGCGGACATTTATTTTGAAGTCTCAATTTTCTAATTTTGGCAAAAAACCAACTAAGTGTTGTCTCAGGGAGAAAACTGAACTCCTACGAGTGTCTTTTTTTTTTATCTGAGCAAAAAAAACCAAAGTCAACCCACACAAGCTAAAGAGAGCACAACCATATAGCAAGCTGTGAAGATGAATGGTTGTGTTGTTATCATCAAGTCCTGAGAATTGGTCAATGGGGGTGTAAAAGGGTATTTTTTTTATAATGGGGATTTTATATTGAAAAATAAATTCAAGTGGTGATATAACCTTAACCATATAAATTTTGTCCAATCAGAAGCCTAGGGGGCAAAAAGTTGCTAGGCAAAAAAAGGAGGAAAAAGAAAGTACTGTGCAGGAGTCCTCCTGTTCCTTCCATTCATAATAAAGTCTTTGAGTTATCCAGTGGCTGCTTTAAAAAATGTCCTTGTTGTATTTTTCATTTCACAATGTGCCAAGTGTTTTCAGTTTGTGAAAGGTCTGGACTGCAGGAAGGCCAGTTGAGTGCTCTTCTAATGCAAAGCAATATTGCTGTAATGCATGGACAGTATGTAGTTTAGCATTGGCTTGCTGATATATGCAAGGCCTACCTTGAAAAACACTGCATTGTGTGGATAGGGGCATATGTTGCTCTAAAGCTGTATATACCTTTCAGCATTAATGCTGCTTTTCCAGATGTGCATGCTGCCAGTTCCACACACGCTAATGCATCCTCCATACCATCAGAGATGTAGGCTTTTTAAATGAACATTAATAAGAAGCGTCCAGAGAAGATGGCAGCGTTTTTGGATTATACTCGAATAAAGTTTTAACCTGTCTAATTTCAAGATCATTTTTTGAAGTGTCCTGAGCCCATGTGGTGATTTACATGACAATGCCATGGTCTCCGATTGTCTCATCCAATGTTTGTGAGTTTTTACTTTTAAATTTTGCACATTTAAACTTTGCATTTGGTTCTTGTTTAAACTGTTCTCTCCCTTAGTGTATTTACCCATTTCATTAGTTCTTAGTTGCTTTAGAGTAATTTTTTTCTCTCAGTGCTCCATCTTTTTGTGTCAAGTCTCCCGTATATTCATTCATATTTTCCACTTTTAGATATCTCACTTCCTGCTTTATTTTGAAAGTTAGTTTTATCCTTGTGCTTTGCTTTTAGTTCCCTTGTCTTGGCTCTGCAATTTAGTTCAGATGTCTTCTTCTCCCCAGCTGTCTGCACTTCCTCTAATCACCCTTCTGTTTATGTATAGTTGCTGTCTCCCCTTGTCCTTTGTCAGAGTGTCTGTTCCCCTTGGCCCATTGTGTTTCTTAGTAGTTTTTTGTTGTTGTTGTTGTTTTTTAAATGTTTTTAAATCCCCCCCAAAACTGGTCACGACAGACCGGTTACCCTCACTGAACCTGGTTCTGCCTGAGTTGAGGTTTTTCCTCATTAAAGGGAGTTTTTCCTTCCCTGTGTCACCAAAGCGCTTGGTCAGCACGGGGTCATCTGATTGTTGGGATTGTTAGACAGACAGAGTGGCCTGTTTAAAACTGGCGACGATGTTGGCGTCAGACTCTGGGCCATGAGAGTTCGTGTTGGATGTAGTACTTCATTCTCACGCCTGTCTTTCTAAGCAGGAACAAAATTGCAGATATTAAGAATAACAAATGTATTGCAACAGTATTTTGCCTGCACCTACCATTACAGGAAATTGTCTCATGAAAAAAAACATTGCACATTATGATGTCAAAAAGGACATTAATGTGGCTTGCCATTAAGGCAAGGCATGTGTCTCTGGAGGCTCCATTTTTAGTGATCTGATAAATGGAGATAACAGTTTACGTGCCGGCCAAGAGCTAAAACCTAAAAACCCAAAAATATCTGTGTATCTGTTGCCACGACCTTTAGTGACTGTAACTTCAACTGTGCAAACTTAGATTATCTTATCAGCTATCTGTCACTGAAGTGTTCTTTTTTATCTGTGTAAAGAAAGGAAACCTGTTCTTGAGGTAATGTATTTTAAGATAGATGAATATCAAAGCAGAGTGTTGGTTAGCACTGTTGCCGCACAGCAAGAAGGATAGCTGTAAAATATTATTTCAGAAATAAATGTGTCAGGGTTTTATTTCCAGTGTTGTCATGATCACAGAATATTTTTGAATACGTTTTTTTTTTAGTTTTTTTTAAATTAACTTTTGAACTCTCCGATATATTTTCCCAGGTGCGCTGACCAAGGTGAAAGACTGCCCAAAGAAGGAAGGTGAGCTCCACGACCGCTGCAACATCATTTCTTTCGCCACGCTGGCAGAAATCCAGCACTTCCACCGCACACGTGTACGGGACTTCCGCTCACAGATGCAGTACCACCTACGCCAGCAGATCAGCTTCTTCCAGAAGATCACGGCCAAGCTTGAGGACGCACTGCAGAGATATGACGATGACCAGTAGCACAAGAGTGAGACAAGGAAGAGAACAGACTACAAAGGCCTTAAAGAAATGGGTTGTGGTGGTGGTGTCATCCTCTCATAATCGAGAGCATCTTATTGTCCTTTAAAAGAAAAATCTTAATGTGATGATTCCTCGCTGTCTGGTAGGAGCATTGGAAGAAAAATACAGGCCATTTGACAACTTCTTGTATTATCTGAAGCTCTGATGAATGTACCATTAACAAGGATTTTGCTGACGCTCCAGACACATGTTGCAACTCAGCAGGATTGCAGCAGATATTTAAAACAGCTGCTCTCAGTATGACTGGAGCTGCGTTTGAGTCACAGTTTCAGGGTCACGTGACTGTCTCCACTGCCTCTTCATGGGAGCACTCGGTCGGGAAAGAACAATCAACAACAGCCCAAACAAAGACGGGAAAACTAATTAAATCGCTTGAACTGGATGTTTTAGTGCCTGAAAGATATAAATGTACTGATTTGTTTTAACTTGAATGACCTGCTCAGTATTGTTTTAACAAGACAGCGCATGAAAGGAAAGAGGGCACTGTCTACTTTCCAGAATCGGTTTCAAGTCTGGATTTCCATCACAGCTTGAAATCTGAGCTACCTGTGATGTCTGACTTCTTTCACATCACCCTCACCTTGTTTGCATTTGAAACGTTTTGTGGTTGAACATTTTCTCTTAAATGTTTTAATGGTGAAGCGGTACCGCAGTAATCTTAACTTCCAGATGTTTTATGAAAACCTAATGCTACATCTGTCACTCACCCAATTCAGGGTAAGGTTAAAAGCTCTTTCGAATGCCAGCTATTTCTGGCATGGAAACAGTAAACCGAGACCATGCAGGCAGTGATTGTGATTATAGCATATTTTACATGCTTTAGAGTGAAAGTTTTTTGTTTGAGAAACATGGCAGTCCTTGTGAAACTGATCAACTTGTACGTCTCAGACATGCATCACTAACAGACCAATTCTTTTAATGCTATTTGGGGTTGGCATTGTTCAAATACTAGACATAATAGCTTTTCAACTCCCTTCTAACACGCCACCAAAATATGATCACAATGCCTCACGTGTACTGATATAATGAGCCCGATTCACCCAGAAGCTCCTTGGATTTAATCAGCATTGAGTTGAAGGCTGAGGTCTCTGAGAGACAGTTAGGATTTGTTTAATATTACTTATATTTTCCTTAAAAATGCAGAAAACCCAGAGATACAGTTCAGTGGTGTTGGTTACAGGGGTTTAAAGTATCAGCCACTGTCAGTCTGAGTTGTGGTATCAGGTGTGACTTCATTCCTTTCCTGTGATTTCACTTTACAAAGTTTATAATGGGACAAACCACCATCCTGGTTGTTTTTTAGCTGTTCACTTGGATCGCTAGCAAAAGTGAAAGTGATATACTTTCAATATAACATGATGGGAGAAAATAAAAAATAAAAAATAAAAGCAGAATTTATTTCAGTTATGACTCTGTATTGTTGATTATTGGCATTTTTGCACAATATAAGCCCATTTTCTGCATATTTTAGGGTGTTTGTTTTGATGAATATTAATATATTTGTAATGATCACACACTATTCGGACAAAAGGTATTGTGCCACACTTCTTAATCTTTCATCTTTTTAGTGCCATGGGTGTATAGAATCAGTTACCTAGCCATTCAGCATGCCTTTGCAATCATTTGTGAAAGAATAAGATCACTGAATTAAAGTGCTGTAATAACATGTCACAGTTTCAAAAAAATATATCCATAATCAGCTGTACCCGCTGAAAAAAAATGACGGTTGAAAATCAGAGAAAAGCCTATGAAACATCCAGAGTTGTCACTGTAGATGCGCTTAGTCAGTGTTATTATTCTTGTGTTAAACTTTCAACTCAGTTTCATTTATATAGTCCCAAATCACAACACCAGTCACCTCAAGGCACTTTATATTGTAAAGTTAGGACCCTACAGTAATACAGAGAAAACTCAATCAAATGACCCCCTTTGAACGAGCACCTGGCGACTGTGGGAAGGGAAAACTCCCTTTCAACAGGAAGAAACCTCTGACAGAACCAGGCTCAGAGAGAGGCAGCCATCTGCTGCAGACGGTTGGGGGTGGTCACACATTTTAAACCCTTTATCAGGTGAGAAACAATGTTTGGTGACTTCACTGGACATAAATTAGCCTCGTTTCCCCTTCTCCAGGAGGCCATAGAACCACTTGGATGTTTCCTACCACCCACCTTACCATATGGTAATTTATGTGGCTGCTTCACTGACCTTGATTTGGACCGTGAAAATTACAAATGTGGAAATGTTATCAAAAAATAAAAAACTTGCAATATAGACCAAATTGAATTTCCAAACATTTCAACGAGTGACCTATAAAGGGTTATGCAAGGGTTCACGTAAGTCCAAATGATGTAAAGTTCATTATCAGAGGGTGAATATGAGGCTCCGCCCAAACTGATTTCCACGTGACCTCTGAATTGGAACAATGCAGGCTTGTTTATGCAGACACTACTGTATTGTTACCCACTACCTGTGATTCTTTGAATCAGGCTACCAAATGGTGTAACTTAAACTTCTCATCCATGGTTTCTACAGCTGTCCATGTTCCTTTTTCTGAAAGCCCGTGTAGCTTTCAGCTACACCAACACAGTTACTTCAGTATCAAAATTCAAATACAGTTAGATGGCTATAGAACAGAAAAAGGCAGAAAAGTACAGTCCACATTAACATTAAAACAGTAATCCATTACTTTACGTATTTACTCCCTGAAAAACGTGTAGCTGCACTTCTCTTTGCACTTTTGCTTTAATCACCCAAGATACATTAAGACAGAGTTAACCATGTGACATATGTGCATATCCACACTAATGACTGTGCTAAGGAGGGGACATATGTTGGCACTTTACTGTCACATTCTTGCCCGTTCATGGAGCAGGTTCATACTAAATATCTCCTCCCATCAGAAGTATGTTTCTTTACGCACATTACCTGACAGCTGTTGCACAAACAGGCATGAAAGAGCATGTTTGATTTGGTTTTTGTTTCTGTTCACTGATTATGCAAGACAAAAAAAAACATAACACAATTGGCATAATTGTTTGAGGAGTGCACTGAATTTACTGAATTACAGACCAAATCTAATGTGATTACAGTGATGTTACCCTTCCTAGAGAAAAGTCTCTCATCTCTTGTTTTCTCTGGTGAAGGGACCACTTCACTCCTTGCTATCTGACACCAGAGTTCAAAGACTGCAGATCAGGTTACTCCAACTGAAGGCCCTTCATTATTTAGACTGTCCTCTTTCTCCCCTCCACTCAGCCTTGATTTTACTTTGAAATTGTGCTTTGTTTAAAATGCGTTCAGACTTACCTGCAAAAAAAAACAAAACAAAAAAAAAACAAGACCTTTCTGAGGTACTGCTCTCTAAACGCTGCCTGATTCATTGAGTTTTAAAGGTCAGAGATGAGGGTTGTGGAGCGGTAATACAAAAAATTGGGCTCACACCATATGTTATGCATGTGACCAGATTAAGAATCTACGTGGAAGTCTACAGTGCAATGCATTCAGAATTTTTGGTGTATGTTATGGTGTTAACGCTTGTCACGTGCATGCCTGGCCACAGATATACATGTAGAGAAACAAGTTTTCTGTACTCATTCATGTTGTTTACAACGAATCCTGGCTCTGCCATCTGAACGTCACAGCAGGGTGTGACAGAGTATTAAGGCCACATTAAGAAAAAAATATAATTTTGCCATGGCTGCTTTTTTTTTTTTTCAACTTTATTCTCAAAATGCGACACTAATACTCCTTTGTAGCAGGAACTCATCAGAACCAGGTAATATCTTCTGTTGTCCAATTTTGGTGAGCCTCTGTGAATTGTCACCTCAGCTTCCTGTTTGTAACTGATGGGAGTGGCACCCAGTGTGGTCTTCTGCTGCTGCTGCCCATCTGCTCTTCAGAAATGCTTATCTGCATTCCTTGGTTATAACGAATGGTTCTTACTATTGCCTTCTGCTCAAAGCTGACTGGCATAAACAGTATTTTTTCCCCACAGAGATGCCTGCTGGATATTATCTCTTTTTTGCGACATCTGCTGATGCTCTCTTGGAACCAGCATGTTGTCTTGACCATGTCTACATAACTAAATGCAGTGATTTGCCAAACTGTAATTGACTGATTAGATATTTGCGTTAATGAGCAGTTGAATCTGTGTACCTAGTAAAGTCAGTCAGTTGTCTGTTGGGGTTTTATTCGTTTAAATACTCTGGTATTCAAATGGGCAACTTTATTGTCATAGATGCTTGGTGCTGGTCAAATAAAAGGAAAAAGAAATGCCACTAAAAATAGCGTAACATGTTTAGATTTGCACAAACAGCATGGGTATTTAAGAAATATTTTTTATTAAAAAAAACTGTCACAGTGCGTGGCAAACAGATGCAGCCATACAAGGGGTCAGAATTGACAGAAATGTTGAAGATAATCAAGTAATGCATCATTATTGATCATAGAAGCAGTTACACAGCAGGAGTAGTAAGAAAAAGGACACAGGAAAGTACAGGACAGGGAATAATGCCTGTGTCTGTACATGTGGGATGAGTGTTATAGCTTACAGTACATTTAGTCGTATGTACAAACATGATGATCTACTGGCTGACGTAATATGTTTTAAAAAAGCAACACCTGACATCTGTACAGTGTGCAACAGCTGTGGGTGAGTGACTTCCATTGCCAGTTATATATGTACTAACTCAAAATATAGCTGCTGTAAATGTGGTTCACATTAAATGAAATGAACCCTGGGCCACGTTTCACTTCCTCCTTCAGTATAAAATGTATTATTGCAACAACTCTTTGCTTTAAGCAAAATACAGATGTAATTTTCTTGAGAAGGACCCAGGGCAGGTTGTGAAAAAAAAAAAAGGAAGAAGAGCTTTTTAAGCTTTTTAAGCAATAATTTCCTCTGATTTTACTCAGAAGAGTATTTCACATCTTAGAAACAAATGCTAAAAGTGGGTAACACCTCGCGGATGAAGTATTATGGATATTTCAAAACAGTATTAATGGAACAAAGTCATATTTATTAGCAGCGTAACTTAAATGTGATGGCCATTGCACATTTTACTGTCGTTTTTCCAAAAAGTACATGTTGGATGTGCCTTAGGTGACCATTGGTGTTCCCTGGAAAGCAGACACATATCTTATATATATACACACACACTACAAACACACCTCTAAGGCACAGTTTTTTCAGCATTACTACCCTCAAACCCAGTACTGGCCCTCTTTTAGAGTTGGAGTCGGGGACCTGGATCTCACAGAGGTCCTGAATCCTGCAGTACGTGGAAGTGGATTGCTAGAAGTTTTATTATCTCTTTCATTACTGTTACAGCCTCTAATATTCCCATCACCACCAGCTAAATCAGCCTCAAATGGCCCCCAGAAGGTCATTCCAGGGGCCAGACTCCTTCGGGGACTTGTGGGCACCCTGGGAGAAGTTGGGCAGCTTGCAGAGCCGAGTGGGGTGACCATAACCGAGGGCATGGCCACACTCCGCTCTGGCCTGCCCAGATACGGGCTGTCCTCATTGGGAACCGGCACTGCAGCGAGTTCCTGGACAAGTCGAAGCCGAGCTTGTTTTTCCTTGCGATGGCGGAACACCAGGATCAAAACTATGAGTATTATAATGAGAAGCAAACAAGCTAGCAGCGGAAGGATAATGAGGAGGGGGTCCGATGCAGGACGAGGCAGAACCTCGACATGAATCAGCTGGGTGTCAGGAGGGTTCTCCGGACCGTGTTTCTCTGGGATGGAAGGAGTGTGGGGCTGGGGGGCATGGCTGTGACCTCCTCCTGCTCCCTCTACGCTGCTCTTTGACCTCCCTCCAGGACTCCCATTCCGTGTGTGGTTCCCCAGTCGGTTATGAGGCCTCAACTTGTGATGTGTCCTGTTGTGGTGCTTGTGTGATAAAATGTGGGGGTGCAAACCCACAGTGACCTCACCGTGTGCCGTAGAGCCTCCTCGTCCACCTTCCCGTCCTGCTCTTCCGGCAGTTGTCCTGTTGTGTGCTGGTAGATGGGCTGTTGTGTGTTCGCGACCTATCTTGTCTATTTTATTGAAACCACCAGGACCGTGACGCATCTGGTGATGAGGTAAGATGGTGAAGTGAAGCTCGCCCTTTGCTGGCTGGACGTTTCCAGACCTCACCAGGAAGCTGAAAGAGTCATTAAGAGGCGTGGCGGGAGCGTGGACTTGAGCTGTTGTGAGCGTGGATTCATTATTGTGGAGCTGGTTGTCGCTGTCACTAAGATTCTCCTCGATGGCAACTCGGCCTTGCACCACATCTCTGAATGTGAATGACTTCAGGACCTCTGACGCTCTGTTAGGATCATATGTTATCTACACAAACACACACACGAAAACACATAGCAGAGGAGAAAGTCAACAGCAAACCAGTCAGACATGCGACATACTGTAGTTTTATGACATTGCAGCTGGAGAAAGGGACCGCCTAACTCCAACTCATTACAACAAATGGCTTTACCTTGACTAGTTTTCCATGTTTTGGTGGAGAGAGAACTTCAAAGACCGGGTTGGCTCGGCTGATTCTCGCCAGCTCTGAGGCATCAATCATGGCTTTTCCCAGTTTCACAGCGATACCACTGGGGACTCGAACTGGCTCTCTCAGGTAGATCAGAGGCCGCACGGTCACTTTCACCGTCGCTGTTACATTTCCATAATTAACGCCAGGTGACGAGGCTGACACTGACATTTGAAAGGTGTCCTCGGACTCGCTGAGATCAGTCATGTGATAGACGACGCGTCCAAACTGGAGGTCCTCGTGGCGGAATGTGGTGACCTCCTGGTCGTTAATAGCGATGCGTCCGTGGCGAGGGGGTGTGGTGACAGTGTAGGAGACAGTGGCCCGGCTCTGACCATTGGTTTGAGCTGCAAGCTGATTGGTTGTCAGGACCACCGCGGTCCGGCCTTGAATCAACGACAAGCCAGTGTTGTTCACAATGGACACCGAGGGCTTAATAACCTCCAAACTAAACAGCTTGTAGAGTGGACGGTGATGGCCGTCTGTTACGTTGAAGTAGAAAACTCCTGTTGAGGGGACGCCCTAAGGGAGGAAACATTGAAAGGAAGAACATAAGACACAATGCAGGAATTAGTAGTGGAAAAAACATAAACATGAACTTTATTCACTGCTTTGTTACCACAGAATAATGGCACCACTTAGCCAAAAATAAGGCATATTGAGCATTAACCATGTCCAGCACTTTTTAAATCTCTGCACAATCACAATTACAACAATGTAAGTCTGACGCTATTTTTTTCTAATTACGTAACACTGGCACATGTTTAGGCTTCACTGCTGCAGTAAACCTTCTTCACCTGCTGTATAAAATGCAGCCGGCCGTGGTTGACGTCGTACTGGGTGAATGAGGTCACCGGCTCCGGTCTTTCCCCCAACGTCAGGTAGCCATTGTTGGGCTTACTTATCACGAGGTAGTGCAGCTCCTCTGGAGGAGTATCATGGTCCTCCACCTCGACATGGAAAAAGTGAAGGATTAAGAAATGATGTAAAAGTTTTGTAGACATAAAAATAAATTGCAGCTCTACCTAAATTTATACTTTTTGCACTTACTCACCTGAAGACTGCTGGGTCCAAGTACGACTCTCTCCCCCACTACCACCTTCATACTGGGGGCCCTGCTTCTGATCAGTGGTGGCTGGTCATTGACTGGTGTTACTGTAATGTTGAACATCTCTGTCACCCCTGTGGTGTCTTTAACGTGATGATGAGAAACTGTGTCTAGTGATGAAAAGGGAGATGATGAAGCAGAGTACAGAGAGGAAAAGGAGCTTGAAGAAGAGGAGGAGTCAGAGGAAAAAGCCGACAAGGATGATGAGGAGGAAGAAGAGGAGAGATCCAAAGGCGCCACCCAGGCCCGAAAAGTGAAGCTGTCACTTGTGGTCTCAGAGTCATCGTGGAAGTATGTGATGCCAAACTTGTTCAGGGTGACTTGTGAAAAATCTGGTTGGTTCCTGAGAAAAGACGATAACCCAAAAGCCATATTTGATACTTTTTTCATATTTACATGGATGCATGTATTTATATATATATATCAATCAACACAAGAAGAGAATAATAAGTGGCCCTGAATGTTCTGAATTGTCTTTTAACTTGACAAGGCCGAGGCCTATTGACTTCTCCTAAGTGATCATGATTCACTATAAATTGTAATTTCTTTGCTAGCATAAAAAGGATTTGTTAGGCAGCAGTCACTGGACTCTGTGACAATGGAAAACTCCAAGGAACTCAATGAAGATCTAAGTAGAAGAACTGTAGCTTTACACAAGTTGGGAAGGTCACTTGCAAAAAAACCCCCCAAACAAACAACAAAAAAAACCCCACCTACAAGTTGCCAATGGAGAGACGCCAAACTGTGTTTCATTGTTCTGGTAAGAGTGACAATAAAGATCTATCTTATCTTATCTTGCAGCCATTTCTAAAAAACTGCAAAGTTCAAGATGATCAGTTCAAACAACTGTATGTAAGTATAAGTTCTTTGGATGTGTCACTACTTTGCCAAGGTCTGGATGAATACCCAAACGGTCACCCTCAAATGAGAGGAAATTGGTTAAAATGTTCAGGAACCACCAAGACTCAAGCCTGACATGAATGGAAACTGCCTAATGCCGGCGTCGCTGTCCACAATGAGACAGTTTGGACTAAGAAGGTGTAGAGCAAGAAAGAAGCCCCTGCTCGAAAATCAACACCTTCAAGTTCAACTAAAATTTGCATCTGTTCACATGGACATGCCAAATGGCTTCTGGAGAAAGGTTTTATGGTTAAATGAGACAAAGACTGAGCTATTTGTCCAAGAGCTATGTGTGGAAGAGTAAAGGCTGGGCTTTGAAACCTATGATTATGGTGCCAACTATCAAGCATGGTAGCAGTAGCGTCACACTGCCAGTGGCAATGATATAATTGGACAGAGAGGATGGCATGATGAAGGAGGAACACCTACAAAGTCTTCGAGTTCACCTCAAATCAATAACTAGGGAGCTAAAACCTGGACGTGATTGGAGGAACGCAGACAGTGATAGAACGCGAGTCCGTGAGTGCCTCCTGCGAGGACGAGCGCTCTGTGATGAATACTGAATACACAAATACAGGATCCCAAACACCTCAAAACTGGTTTTAAAATTGATAAAGCAGGCTAACATTAAGGTTCTGAAATGACCTTCTCAAAGCCCCGACCTCAACCCGATTAAAAATTTGTGGAAACCAAGGAATTTGAAAGAACTCTACCAACTCTACCAAGAGGAGTGGTCAGATATTCAGTCAGAATTATACCAGAAGCATCTGGCTGAGGTATAAAGGACATTTAACCCAATAAGAGTATACATTTGACCCCATGTGGATTAGAGAAAATCCAAAATGATTTCAAATTATAATTTTTATGGCCATGATATAGTATATGTAAACTAATCCCAGCTGTATAATGATATATATCTTTTATTGAATGTGTATATATATATATATATATATGTGTATATGTATATATTTACTTTTGCCCTGTATATGGTATTACATTCCTTTGATTTTAATTTCGTTTTTCAGTTCATTTCATGACAAATAAGAGCAGCTACGTACCTGGTCAGATTGTGTCCTCGAATAGACAAAATCCCATAGCGAGGAAAAGAAATCACACGATACATGATGTGGTGGTCTTTCCGATGGGACTCTGGGATTTTTCCCAGGAGATTAGAGGCATCAAGCTTGGACCTGTCTATTGTCACCCTGCCTCCTTCAGCCACCACAGCACCTGAGTGATAAATACAGACATAAATGTAGTCACCCTTATATTATATTCTTCTTGCCACATGATATTTATTAGTTTGAAACATAGATAGTACCTGCATTGTTTAGTAGTCTGGTCTTGTGCTGAGGGCTGTCATGATGTTCATTGGCTTGGTAGGAGATCAAGATGGTGAAGGTGTGTGGAGGAAGAGAAGCAGGAGGCAAAGACGCCGTGAAAGAAAAAGTGTCTGTAGCTGACCATCCCACTGACTCTGGCTTGTTCTGATCATACAGGATAACGCCATCGTCCAACTAAGAGCCAAATAAATGAGGAGGGAAAAGAGAATTTCTTTCAGAAGTTAGTCCTCTTAGAAAAAGCAAACACTGACACATGGAGACACACACATCCCTACCATGCTCTGTGTAAAGGTGGAAACATTTCTTGTGGAGTTGTCCGGCATACGTCGGACCAGGCGACCGAGTTTAGGAGGAGAGGTCACTGCAAAGACCACAGACTGGTTCCTCCTGATGTTGCCGTCAGCAATGTTAGTAACCACCTGAAGCTCCTTGTCTGAGATTGGTGTCACAGAGCCTTCAGGATAAACAAAAAAAGTAATGCTAAGGAGTGAATCTACCGAGTTTAATGTATTAGTAGCAGGTGACGCCATGTGTCAACAATGCCAGAGTGTTTGGCCTTAACGTGACCAACATTTGCTGTTTTGCTGTACATTTCACTCAGGAGTAGTCTACACCTAATATGGGCCAGATGTCATGTGTGTTGTGGCATGAGCCCACACAATGCTTGCAGTAACCCACGCCAAGCCCACCCCACACCTTTGTAGGGCATGTTTAGTCTACAGACATCCTGTCACTGAGTCAAAGTGCCAAATGCAGCCCAGGTTCAAATATATTTGTCACCTGAGATTGAACATAACATTGTAAAACAAATATATCAAACAAAAATTTCATACTCGAATGTCTAACTGCTCATTTGTTTCTTTGACTGTCCATTGATTGTCAGCGGAAAAGTTGTAGCTAAGTAGTTCATATTGTTCTTAAAATAGCAACATAACCAAAAGAGAGATCAGGAGGAAATGTTTTACTTCTTCTTGAGCCACAAATTCTCTTTTCCCCCCAATAGTGCCACATTAGATCACGTTTTTGCAGTTTTAACTGATGTGCTAGAAGCACTGTAAACGACACAAGTTTAGCCTTTAACAGTAAATCTATATTCCCAGTTTCAACACCAATTTTCTCAACACGTTTTTATTCTAAACTGCTTTTTACTTGACTGCAAAATATTGTATTTTTTCTCATCAAAGCAAGTAAAATAGTTGTGTGTGGTTATATATAAGGATAAATGCTGTACATATGAGTAGGTGTTACTGTACGCATGTGCTTTATAGGTTTTGGTGTGAACATAAGGCACTGTGGTTTAGAGTAGCGAGGCCACCCAGCGGCAATGCAGTGTATTACATCAGCGTGTCACTGTTGTGCTTTCAGAGCTGCATTGATTCTTTGTGACACAGATTCACCACAGTGCTAGAAACATTTCTTATTGATTTTTTTCTGAAAGTCCCGTTCCACCACATCTCAGAGGTGTTCTGCTGGATTGAGATGTGGTGACTGTGGAGTACAGAGGCCATTCTGAGGGTCTTTTTAACTTCAGGTCAAGATGTGACTTCAAAACCATCAGTCACTTTATTTATTTATCTAGTCATTTACTGATTTATTGAAGCTGGAAGAGCAGGTATACCTGGGTAGACTTCCATCGGGTGGTTTCTCTGCAGGGTGAGGATCAGAGAATGGGCAGTTGTGCTAAAGATCTGACGAGGAGCAAAGTTGAGGCCGTCATTCACTTGGAAATGAAAGCCACCCGACAGCGCCCCTGCAGACAGACAGAAACATGTGGTCTACTCCTCTGCTGAATCAAAGGTCTTTTTAGAAAACAGCAACACATGCTTACCATTGTGCACAAACACCAGCTGCTTGCTGTCTATGTGACTTTGAGTGAAGTTCAGAATGTGTCTGGAGGGGGCGCTCTTCAAAGCCAAGTGGCCATTGCTGGGTGGTGTCACTATGAACTCCAGCCCCTCAGGTGGAGTGTCAGTGTCCTCTGCACTGAGATCGCCTGTGGTTATCTCTGTAACAGAACCCACCCACACCTGAAGAGCAGAAAGGAAACACGACAAGTCATCTTGGCTCAGCATGACTGTAAAGAGATATAGATATATAGTTACATAGATACATTTTGTTTGTTTTAATATGTACTAATAAAAAAGCTGTTTCATGACTTTTTGATTTAAGTGTGTCTTTGAAATAATTTTAGCTGAAAATAATAATTGTGTTGACTCTTCTTATCAATGTGTGGGCATTTCCCACCTTCAGTCCGTGGTTGGTTGTAATCACCGGGGTCTCATCATTGACAGGTGTGATGTTGATGTGAACGGCGCACGGCAGGCTGTGTTTCCTGGTTTCCGTCTGGTTTGCCACAATGGTAAAGTTGTCTCTCAGGGTGTCACTGCCGTCATGGATGTAGGAAATGTACTCCCGTTCCACCTAAAAACAGATGTTGTGTGGAAAATGGAACAAACAAATCCAATGAAATGATAGCTCACATCATAGTATGAAGCATTTTATCACAAAGATGAGCGCTACATTTAATTTAAGGAAAAATCTGCCAGGTATTGTTGTAGGGTGATTGTGCTCAAGGTCAGCAGGTCAACGGAAAGTGTATCTTTTGTATATTTCATGTTAGATTTTATTTGCAAAACACATGACCTGATCAGGGATGTTTGACCTGAGTATTGGCCATGAAGATTATACAAGTTTTGTGAACAGGTAGAACATGGGTATAAGAAGAAAACATCTATTTTTTTCCACTTATCCAATACAACGTCATGGTTGGAATAGAGCCAATCAATGCGACCAGAGGGCAAGAGACGGAGGATAACCACTCACACCTACAGCCAATGTAAAATCACCAGTTAACCCTACATGCATGTCTTCGGACCGTGAGAGAGTATGAGAGGACTCAGACAAACATAAAGGTCTCACTGGCTAGTGGACAAACCCAGGATGTTCATGCTGTCAGGCAATGGTGCCAACCACTGCAGCACCATGTCAC